CCCTGTGTGCCTGCTGCTTATGGATTGATTGTCTGTGTCCTCAGGCTCTCACCCTGTCATTCAACTCCAAAACACTGACTTGTCTACTTTCTACTCACCCCTGTGGCTCTGTGCCAGTCTTCAGAAAGGGTCTGTGAGTTAAAGTATGCCCTTTGTCTACACTGCACTCTCGGATGACTGTGCTGTCAAAGCAGAAATGGAAAAGCTCCTCTGCCTTACTTTATTCCTCTGAAGAATAACACAAGTATTATAGAGGATGCATCACATTGTGAATTTCCATGCAATGCTGCAATATATTAGATTCCGTTTAATCCTCAAAATAGCCCTCTGAAATATTATTCCCATTGTATCACAAAAAGACAGAATTGAGGCTCAGAAGTGACGAGTGACTCGTCTGAGTTTATTTAGCTGTAAATGGCACCTCCAGGCCTTCAACAAGGGGTTTCTGCCCTTCTGTCTCCTTTCTCTACATCACAGCTGCCTCAACCTGTTGTTAATTTTAGATGAAGCTGTATTCATTTGGGTCATGATTCTTCATAATCTAAATGTAAATTCTTTGTTTTGTTCAATGTTCTTATTTTATGGTTAACAAACAACAACAACATGACTAACTGAAGCTGCAGCCTTTAATCTTTCCAAAACAATAGGAGAGAGAGGTCCTCATAATAAGGTGCCAGCCACCAGGAAGGAAGCCGGGAAAGTCTCCTCCCAGGGGGTAATTGATTCCTATTGGCATAACACTCCATGTGGCACTGACTTAGGAGGCTCCATGAAAAAGTGTCTGCTCTTTTTCCTCTGCTGCCAGAAGAAAGTTCACAAAAGCCTTTGTTCTTCCCACACCCTTGGAGGGAGCTAGTTAGGGCCCCTGTTTTTGTCCAGGGGAATCAGTGCTGAGCATTTGTAAATGAACTGGAGGCAGATGGATAGCTCCAAAGAATAACAAATTTTAAAATTATCATTATTTATAAGCCCAGTGATTTAGTAGTCTAAAAAACATCTATGAACAACAAAATAATCCTAAAGGAGGGTAAGAATTTTAGAATATGCAATTTAGAAAACCAAATTTATCAGGCTCAGAGCTCAGGGAAAAGAAGGTCTAAGAGATAAGAAGTCAGGGACACTGGGCCTAGATTCTGCTCCTGACTCTGTGCCCTTGGGTAAGACATCGAAGTTCCCCAACCCAGATTCACGTGTCTAAGGAGGGTGCAGGACCTTGTGGCCACTCAAGTGCAAGAGCCTTCCTGGTGAGAGCACACTATTAACCAGAACCTTGACCAGCCCCTTCTCACTAGCCCAGTGAAATTGCTCACGTTAGAAACTGGACCTTTTGGCACAAGGGAAGTGGGGAAATTAAGTCCAAATTACAAAGAAAGGGTGTGGGATCTCAGTTTAGGGATAGGTGTTTTACTGAACTTCCAGGGCTGGGCATAGCACCTGTCACGTGGCAGGTTTTCAATAAATAATGAATGATGGGTATTTAGTCTGATGGAAGGTCAGGCCTCCCCCAGTGATGGTTAAGGACGTCGGATTTGAGGGCAAATGAGACCTGTGACTGAGACGTGAATCACACATTAGCACAGTAACCTAGACAAAGTTATAAGCCTCAATTTCTTCCTGTGTAAAATGGAGATACTACTTCACAGGGTTATGAGGATTAAATGAGAAAATGCTTAGTTCATTGAGCACTTAGCGTACAATAAACATTAGCTATTATTATTACTAATGTTATTTATGATCAAATCTTTCACTCCAAAGGCTTCTCTGAGGAGCAGGGAGGCTCCAGAGGCAAGAAGCCTGGGGGCGGGAAATCTGTTTGCCTTCTAAGGCCTTAGGCTTCGGCATCCGATCCCTCCCTGTCCTCACTCCTGTGAGCAGAAACCCTCCTGGGACCCGTGATAAGGTTGAAATAGAGGGTCTGAAGAAGAGGCCTAGAAGTTAGGTGGGCTCAGAGAGCCCCAATCTCAGCCTCTTCTGTGCTGAGACCGAGAGGGGTCTTGGCCTGCGCTACTGGGAGAAACGGACTCGGGCCTGAGTGTATTAGTTGGGAGGACACTGCTTGGGGCAGATCAACAGGTGGGGACACTAGCTGTCATTCGTTCTTCTGCAGGCAGTTAGGGGGATGGTGGCCAAGGTGAGGATTGACTGCTCAGCACAGTCTACATATGTTGACCAGGAAAATCTAGGCTTTTTCTAAATCTCCCTGCCAGACCTGGCAACCCATTCCCATGGATATATTTAAGGCATGTTTGCATTTGGAACCTTATCTTTGTAGCCACCTTTCTTACTATCTGGAAAAGGAGAGGTCTTTCTAGCAATTTGGGGTGGAGAGCTTTCTCCTGTCTCCATATGACAGTTTCTGGTTTAGGAGAACTTCCCATTGTTACATTTCTCTGGGGCCTTTCCACCTGTCAGCGAGAGATAGTCTTCCCTTTGTTTAACTAAAATTGATGCCGGCGGGAAGGTATGGGTGGTCTCGTGAGCCTATGAGTGTGTGAACATATTTTTATGAAGTGTGTCTCTAGGGGGCCATGAAAAACTGACCGCTCAGCCACAGAAATATATGCGATTTTGAGAACATCAAGAAGTTGCCTTTTGCAAGGTAAGGTTACGATGATCTTGACCAGGAGGGCAAGGAGTCCAGCAACAAGAGCTCATTCGACAAGGCATTTTCTCAGCTGCAAAGCTGCCTCCCCTCCTCTCCTGAGGAGGTCTGGGAGACTAGAAACCAGGAAAATTAAGACGTTCCATTGCTTCCTTCTGGGAGCCAGAAGCCGAATTCCCGGCAGGCAGAGCAGGGGAGAGGGAGGCTTTCGGGCAGTTCCTCCGAGAAAAATAAAGTTACTTAATGGCATAACATTTTGGCTTGAAGACAGGGATTTATCAGAGGCAAATAATAACCTTCAAGAAACCACGAATACTCCCCACCCCCATTCATTTCCAAGGCGGCTGAGTATCTGCATCTTGAGCAACATACACAGATTTGGGCCTCCTGTCGCTCTCGCTTTCTTTTTGAAGTGACTCCCTTTCTGAAGAAGGTGGCCAGAATATTGACCCCGGCCCCCCGGAAAGAAAGAAAAAATCAAATACAAATGAGCTTGGCACTGCCTGTCTCTTCCAAAAAACCGTGCGTGCGCGCGTGCGGATGAAGCTGTTGAGTGATTTCTCCTTAATGTTTTTGAACTCTGGTGGAGACAGTGCTAGGCGTTATAAGCCGCGTTAGTGACCGCCAGTGACGGAAACCGCTAATCACCCGGTCCCCTTTGATCTCCCGGGCCGTTTGGCCAGTAACACCGGAGGCCCGGGTATTGGCGCTTTCCCGGAACTGCACTGGCGGAGTCTGCGAGTCGCCCTGGGCTCTGCAGCGAAAGTCCGCCGAGGTCTGGATCAGACTTTAAACCATTTTCACAGACCACCCCGGTTTCAAAGAAGTGTGCGGAGCTGGCGTGCTGCTAGAAGCTAGCAAGCACCCTTGTGCGGAGGTGTTTGGTTAGTTTCAGCAAGTCGCTACCTTGGCGCTTTTCTGTAAATTTGGAGGGTAGACCAGGAAAGTAAAATTTAAAAAATTTCCACGTCCTCTACCATCTCTCCTCTTGCCCACCTTCCTCTTCCAATTCGTTTGTGGGAGTTTGTCCTCTTTGCTGGGACTACAATGTGTGCGCGATCGTTTGTGAAATGAACAAAAGTCATCGTCTAGCGGGACGACGGGGACAGATCGCTGATGGCAGCCTGGGGGTGGGAGCGAAGGCCCGGCCTCCGAGGATAATAGGGAGCCGTCCTCCCCCCTCGCCTGGTCTCCATGGCCCCTTCATTTTCCAGGTAAGATGAATGTTCCTTCATCCATCATCCGCAGAGAATGCCCTCTCCCAGGCGAGCAGAGAATCTGCTCTCTGATGAAACCTATTAGCCCCGAGCTGGACGGCTTTGTGGAGCCATCCGAGACTCTCCATTCTGGCCTTTGTCCGCGGAATATAATCATTTACATAATGCATCGGCGCGGAACTCAGCGCGGGCTGCGGACACCTCGTGCGGGGCCAGGAGCGGCCGGCGCCTCAGCAGCTCCCCGGGACCACCCTCGAGGATGCACGGGGGCGTGTTTTGGGGGGAAGCTGCACGCTCAGGGGCAAGGAACCCAGTGCCGGATCCAAGTGTTTTGCCTTCTTTGGTCATCTCCGGGCTGTTGCACTAAAAAAAAAAAAAAAGAAAAAGAAAAGGAGAAAAGAAAAGAGAAGAGGCGAGAAGAGAAGAGAAAAGAAAAGAAAAAGAAAAGGCAACGTTTTGGTGGGTTAACCGAAGCTGGATCCCTGTGATCCTGAAGCCGGAGAAATAAACTTGACACAAATTCCGCTTTCCTGGCGGACGTTGGTGCCGCGCGGTTTTTTCATGCTGACCGTTGGGACCCGCAGCTCAACCGCCACAGGTGCCTCGGAGCGCGGAGGGGCCCCGGGTTCCGATCGCCCGAGCGCCGGGCCTGCACGCGCGGCGGCGACCCCGCCCGAGCGCCCGCCGAGAGCCTGGGGGGAGAAAGGGGACATCCGCAGAGAAAAGAATCCGCAGGCTTTCGAGGCGCGCACACTTGGCAAAGTAAATGCAATCTCTTTCGTAAGCCGAGGTTCGGGATATTCATCTCTTCGGAGAGAGGTGTTCCTACTCAGACATCTCGCCCGTGCGGACTTTCCACCAAAAATGACGCCAAAGTGCCAGGAACGCGCCCCACTCCCAACAGGTGCCGGACCTTTCGCGCGGTCACGCCTTGGGCCTCTACCCCCCCTAAATCGGCCGCTTTAAGGCCGGAAGAGCTTAAGTTTCCAGTGCAAGAGGGAGCCAGCAGCGGGGAGGGATCTTGGTGCAGAACCAGGAGCCCGGAGTCGGCCCGCCCCTTCCAAAGAGAGCGCGGTCCAGCGCCCTCCCCGCTGCAAACCCGGCTCGCCGCCAGCGCCCAATCAGTGCGCTCTCCGGGTCTGTGACGGCGTTCGGCCCCGCCCCCTCGACGGCCATAAAAGGCCGCAGCGAAGGTGGAACTTCGGAGCACTGTGCTCGGCCCTGCTCCGCAGCGAGGCCCCAGGTGTGCTCGTTCGTCTTGCTCCCAGTAGCACCGCTCCCACTGTTCCCGCGGTCAGCCACCGGTTCCTTGTCTTCCTCACTCCCCATTGCGGATTGGCTGAGCCAGTCTCCAGGCTTCTCCTTCTTCCTTCTTTTTCTTCCTCTTTCCTCGGCAGCCGCAGTACCTCGCGCTGTATCTCACCTGGCCTGCAGGTGAGCAGCGGCACAGCGCCCCTGTCTGGAGAGCTCACCCTGCTCGCGCCGGAGCGGCGGGGGCACCCCTCCTAGGCTCCCTCTTCCCTACAGGATGAAGAACCCGATGCTGGAGGTGGTGTCCCTGCTACTGGAGAAGCTGCTCCTCATCGCCAACTTCAAGCTCTTCAGTTCGGGCTCCCCGGGCGAAGACAAAGGGAGGAACGGTTTCTATGAGATCAGCTCTTTCCTCCGGGGCGACGTGCTGGAGGTGCCCCGGACCCACCTGACCCACTATGGCATCTACCTGGGCGATAATCGTGTCGCCCACCTGATGCCCGACATTCTGTTGGCCCTGACCGACGACAAGGGGCGCACGCAGAAGGTGGTTTCCAACAAGCGTCTTATCCTGGGCGTCATTGTCAAAGTGGCCAGCATCCGCGTGGACACAGTGGAGGACTTCGCCTACGGAGCCAACATCCTGGTCAATCACCTGGACGAGTCCCTCAAGAAGAAGGCGCTGCTCAACGAGGAAGTGGCGCGTAGGGCTGAGAAGCGGATAGGCTTAACTTCCTACAGCCTGCTGTGGGACAACTGCGAGCACTTCGTGACCTACTGCAGATACGGCACTCCGGTCAGCCCCCAGGCCGACAAGGTATGACGCGTGACTCGCAGGGGAGGTGGCATGCCCCCTCCCATCCCTGAGCTTTTCTCTTCCATGGAAGCCGGGATCTTCTTCCTGGATACCAACCCCGCCACTTCCACACCATTCTTAAAGTTCTAGATTACGTAAGGAAAGCTCCGGTGTTCCTAAGGGACGCTGAATAAATAAATGGCGATGTGCCTTGCAGAATATCTCGAAATGAGCAGTAAAAGTGTGTGGCAATACAGGACCGCTTACGGAGATTCCAGAGAGCTGCCCAGCTATTGTTGCAGAAGTCATCAGTGTGTCCACCCACAATAGTTCAAGTGACAAAGGGCATTGGGGGGCCGGGAGTCATAGGAAATCCGTTGTCCTATACTTGCAACTTTTCCCAAGAATGTCAATTGGAAGGAAGGTGTCTAGAGTTCAAAATTTAATCCATAACACTATAAACAAAATTGTGTGCCTTTACAATAAGGAAGTATGCAGTTTTCTCCCTTTGTATGCTGTAGAGTGAATTTCCTTTGCTTAATATAAATTATCAAAATTCCCAGTAAGAGGGGCTCCCTGATAAATTCCTATTCCTCTGCCTGCGCTTCAGAGAGGTCTTTTGCTTGGTATTCTGAATTCTGAGTTTGGGTTTAATCTGCATCTAGACTTCCTTATTGCTAAGTATCCTTTTATGCATTAGCCCTAAAGTTAGATTAGATTGTTTATGGGTTGCCCAGAGATCAAAACAATTGATTTTCAAGAAGAGCTATTAAATGTTGGAGAGTAATTTTTATGAGTACTTTGAGAAAACAGCATTAGAATTTAAGATTATTAAAATAGCCACAAATCCAAAGGGGACAAATGGATTTTTATTTCCTTTTAAAACCTCTTAACTTTTAAAGACAGTTAACATTTTAAGCCTGCAACTTCATTTGCAATTGGAAGCTTTCTCAGCCTTCACTGCACTTGTTAAAGAAAGTAATTGTTAATGTTTACTCTTCATAATGGAAACCTGGGTAATCACATAATGAGCTTTAGTGTTACTAGTCATGTTTAGATGTTTTTTTGGACCAAGAAAATTTGAGTCCATATAACCAAATTTTAATTGCTCCATATCTTGATTAATTTTTTGACCAATTTGGTAAAATCTTTTTCTCTCCTCTGTGGCAGAGCATGGAAGTATTTTGCTTTTATACCTTGGTATATGAAACTCCTGGTAGATTTTATAGAGCCACGACAGACTCAATCTAGGAATTCTTTTCCAAGTAAAATAAAAATACAGTTAGAGCACTGTGCAATGATTCAAGAATCAGAGCTCCAGTCCAGGCCTGTTTAGAAATGAACTTCACCACATTTACAAACACTGGCTCCAAAAGTGTACAAAAGGAAACACGTCAGATTTACTTAGGAACCAAGCAAATCATTTCTCTAAGGAAAAACAGTATTTCTATCTGGTAATTAGGAGTTACTCTTTCATGAACACATATAGCACTGTATTATACATTTTTCCAGAAAAACAGTCAAAGCATTTTTTTAAGGTAGTAAAATATTTAATCTGCATAAATAACTAGTTGGAGTAGTTTTTCATCTTTGGAAACTTTGTCAGGTTTTACAGAAGTAGAGGAGTGTTTTAATTGCTGTTGCTGCATAGCACCTCTTGTGAAACTGAGTTTTTGTCCTCACTTTGAATGGTTTAACAAACAATTTGGCCACAGAGTAGATTTCCCGGGAAAAAAAATCCTCATCCCAAATTTTCTGATTCTAAGGACTGTTTTTTGAACATGCCTTGAGAGAAGTAGGTCATTAATAGTGAAGAAGGACTGGTTTCTACTTTTTAGAAACATAAGGAATTATTTGATTCTGGGTCTGATTGTTGAGTTCTCCATATATACAGCTATTATCAACTTAACATGAGAGTTGCAAAGTTGTCTCTTGAATTCAAGTTTATAAAAACTCTCAAAAACCCTTTCCCTCAGGAGAACATTGTAATTGGTTTGAAAATGAACTGGAAAAGAACATTTACTTCTTTGTGGTAATACTCTATTTTACAAGTTTGGAAATTATAAAATTATGGGATTTTTATATTGCTGTTGACAATCAGTATTTTGTAAACTAAAAATCCCTTTAGTTGGCCACTATTATTCCTTGTGCTCTTCTCTACTATAATTTTTTTTTTCTTACTTTACTAATACTGCTTTTTCATTGCCAAAAATAATTGCAAATACCCATTTATTTTTTGGAGACTAAGTGCTCAAGGTAAAGTGTCCCTACAGACTTCTCCATACCTTCTAGAAATTTCCTACCTTTGAGCACCACTAAAGATGCCTCCTGGGCAGACAAGCCATGTAAACAGGAACAGGACCTTAGAAAGGAGATAGATGCTCCTTGAGAAAATCTGCTCTTAGGGGAAAGAGAGTCCACAGTGATTCTGTTTGCCTTAATTATAAATTATTGAGGAAAAGATAAAACAAGTATTACTGTATCTACAACTTACTCACTTACCTTAATATCACATCTTCCATTATTTGCCAAGCTCCTTTTTTTCACTGTCCTGAAAACTTTGTTCGGTTTGATCCTCACCACTTTCAGATAGAGTAATTGTTACTCAATGCCTTGTTAGTTTAGTAAAAAGAGAAAAATCATATGTTTGACCTATAAGCAGGCCAACATCTGTAAAACAGGATGTTTCAAAGCTGTTTTGATATTGTGTGACTGAACAGAGACAATCATACTCTCAAGATGGTATATTAAAATATATTGAACTTGTTCATTCTACCCATTAAGAATTTGGAAACCCATCTGTCTGGTACTATGTAAGCCACTGTAGAAAACCCTAAAAGCACATACAATGCCATGTCTAGACAAAGAGCCTAAAATAAGTATGAATAGCAAAACTTATATAGAAATGGCAATTAATTGCCTAATTCTGGCACAGACAGTGCTATGGTAGAGATAATTGTTGACAGATATAGTACTAATAATAATCATTGTAATACCTCACATTTATACAGTGCATAGAAGAATACAGAGTACTTTAGCATAAAACATCTCATTTGTTCTCCATAACAACCTCAGCATTCCCAAGGAAGAGGAGAAGAGGGTAGTCTGGACAGGTTAAAGTGACTTACCTGACATCACACAGCCAATAAGAGGTGGAGCCAGAATTCAAACATAAGCCATTACTTCTAAATAAAATTATTTTTCTAAGGAAAAATATTTATGCATACTAGAAGAATACATTCCTCAGGTGTAAAGACCATATTTAATTTATCTTTATTTCCAGCAGCTAATAATATGTCACATAATTAATGATGAATTGAATTTATTTAGGCAGAGAATGAGAGATGACAACAAAATTAGACTTTCTATGCCTTTAGATTTTGAGACTTATAAGAAAGTTATCATTGGTATCACCAAATTTTAGAATGGTGAATTGGAGGGATTAAATCTACCTTTAATAGGCCAAATGCCATTGTTTTTACTCAAGATTAAAGACATCCTTGCTCATATAATTTTAGAATATGTTATTGTTATTGACAAGCAGTTTAATGTTGTTTTTAACCTTTAATTCTGAATGATTTTATGTGGTTATATTTTCTATAGTTTTCTATAAAATGCTATATTTACAAAGGCAACTGCCATTATTTACCCAATTGTCTAAAAGATCATTTCAGCCACTGTAGGTTGTGGGATCAAGAAACTAGACTGTTAGCATTGTAAATGTTTTCAGAGGTCATTAAGGGAATTTCTAATTCTTCTGGTAGACAAAAAACAGCTGGGAAATCTGTTTTATTTATTTGATTATATGTGGTTCTTCTTGGGTTTAGCTACCTTTCCTAATATTCTTAAATTTTATTTTCCAGTTTTGTGAGAATGTGAAGATAATCATTCGTGATCAGAGAAGTGTTCTTGCTTCAGCAGTCTTGGGACTGGCATCTATAGTCTGTATGGGCTTGGCATCATATACTACTCTTCCTGCAATTTTTATTCCATTCTGCCTATGGATGGCTGGCTGACTTCATATCCCCACGTCAGTGTGTATCCTGTTTATAAATATGTTTATATTTATAGAGCACCAATCAGTATAAAGCATTGTTGAGAAAAATGTGACCTACAACACTGTGGTCTGGATAAAAATGTGATTAAGAATCACGCAAAGTGCTTACTGTGTAAGCCCAAGAACAAAGGCTTTCTGAATCTTCTCAGGCAGTTCTGTTTTAAAGTACCGTCCAAACCTTGGAAACAGGCCAGCTTGTGATAGAATTCAGCAATACAAGAAAACCAGCCCCTAAGATGATGGCCACAGAGATTGTGTTTTTTTTTTTCCCCTCCTATAGTCACTGATATTCTGTTAGGCTGAACTTGAAGATTGGAAGACTTATTGAATGAGATCACTAACTTTATTGTAAATTTATTCCGTTTCATTGAAAAACTTATATTAAACTGGAAGAATTTCCTTCATTTAGATGAAAACATGTTTGATGATTGGTCAAAAAAAAAAAGCTCACAACCTGTTTTTTTCATGTATTATATACAATCCTAAGTCAAGAATGTTTTATTTTCATTACTTGAAACCAACATTAGCAAAGTTAAATTTTAATTATGAAGTAACAGACCAGAAAGTATAGAAATCTGTGTTTCCCTGTAAAAAATAGCTACTACAGCATCATTTGAACAATCTGGTTTGGCTTTACTTACTAGGAAGCCTGGAATTCATTATGTTTTCTCCTTTTATGTGCCACTGTGGTTACTTCAAATCACTCTGAGAGGTAAATGTATATAGGACTAAAGTAATTTGGGTATTTGGGGTGTGTATGTGTGTCAAATAAGTATACAGATACCCATATACACAAAGACTGAGACAAATTGTTGATTGCTTCCTTACCATATTACTGTGGTTATTATGGAGCATCTGTAGAGGTAAATATAAAAGTAAGTCCAATCTATTTCCTAATGTCTTTGAATTTGTAGCATTCACTTGCATAGATGTCATCAGATGGGTTATCTTTTAAAACATTTACTACTATACTGTGAAGTTTTTAAAAGCCCTCAGATTTGTTTTCTAGTCACTTTTCTCCAGGTCATTTCTAATTATAGCTTATGTTCTTAAAAGAATGCCACAGCAGTATATAAAACCCCAAAAAATAGGTCCAAAGGAGATTAGTGTTTGAAATAATTTTTAAGTGTCTTAGTACTGCCAGTCATGTAAATGTATTTCAGTGAGACAGTTATAATATCAGAGTCGAGATGGAGCAGTGTTAAAACAAGCATTCAAGTACTTTTGCAAAATTACCCTATTCTAAAAATGAAGCCACAGGCTAGACTTGCATTTCAGGTATTAAAATTGCTTTCTTAACTATCAAGAATCACAAAATAATGAATCATATTATGAGTGGTATGGGTAGGGTGGGGTCAACCAGTTAGGGATCCAATGGGAACAAATTTCAAAAGCACATTTTAGATTAAATGATATGCCCACAGCAAACTCACTTGGAGTTTAATAATTAAACTTTAAATAATTTTAATGTTAAATACTTAACATTAAATGCAACACCACAGAATATTCATGTTCTATGGACCTATTCCAACCACTTAAAATTATCTTAAGTATGTATACATAAAAACAACCAGTATGACAACCATCGTTAGTGGTTTTTTCACTTACTGTTTAGTAACCCTTATGGCAATAGTTTAAATAAATTCATTTCTTTAAAACACAGTGTCCTCATAAATAATTAACACCTTTTTTGCAAACTTTAATATTTCAGGCAGCAAAATCCACTGTCTGAAATTAAATCTGTGTTCAAAGATAATGATCCCTCATCAAATGCCAAGGAAGTTCTTAAGGTTGGAATTAACGTGATTAGTCTTGACTCACTTCATTAAAGCAAGATTCACTTCCTCATTCATTTGAGTGCTCATTATATGCCAACCAGGCACTGACCTGTTGCAATTTCATGGTCTAGAATTAATATTATTATTTTTTAACTAGCTATAATAGAGTGTATATAGTGTTATGCGACATAGAGGGGAAGAAGCAATTAAATCTGCAGAAGAGTAAGAGAAATCTGTATTCAGGACATTATGCCAGCATTAAGCTGAGAAATAGTGTGAGCTGAACATTGATGTGTTCAACTGCTTATGGGAAGAGGGAACCGGAAGAAAGGTTTTATTTATTAAATGTTCCACAATACTAGAATTGTTGAACTTCTTAGGAGAAAAGGAATGTTTCCATTTGTTTTGTTGTGCTCCATTTGATTAGCTGCTTAACAAGGTAGCATAAGAAGCACATCTTCCTGACTGTGGCTATGGAAGAAACCCTGAGCCATTAATATGTCTCCTAACTTGAATCACAAATTTCTCTGGGCCTCACCCATTAAGGTTCATCCTTATGATCCTTATATTTCTATTCTAACTTGTAAAATGATAAGCAAGTAGTGTCTGATGAAGCTTTTTATAGCTTTTTGCTCTTTGCCATAGATGAAGGCCAAATAGGACTAGCAGAGGCTAAGACAAATCAATGCAAGTGTAAAGTACTAGGCAGGTGTGAGGGATGAAATGATGAATGAGGCATGGACCTTGTCCTCAAAGTTTATGGCCTACTAGACATAGCTGTATTGAGACTTTCGGTGATCGAAATCCAAATAGAGCTGATTGAAGGCAGAGAAAGAGGTTAGTTTTAACTAATAAGGCCAAAATTATAGGGACCATGTACCAAGACTTGTGAAAGATGGGTGGATATTTTCCACGGGACAGATTTTGGGCAGGACGTTCCACGCATTGGGAACAGCATGAGCAAGTGCGTGAAAACAGCCTGCAACATGCCCAGCGTGTGGCTGTGATGAGTGAAAGCATGAAACCGCACAGGGCATTCAGGCAAGTGCAAGTGGTCCAGGGGCTAGAGCACAGCAAGGGTGCTGGGTAAAATGTCAGAAAAGGAAAGCAGTGGTCAGGTGGTGCGCGTCTTGTGTAGATCAAGAAGTCCGGGCTTTATGAACAGGCAATGGAGATCTAAGGTTCAGAAGAGTAACTTCCAAAAGTATGGAAGAAGGATGGGGGCATGGGGCAAGACTGGACAAAGGGACCTATTAAGATACTAGCTAAGGGCCTCAATCTCTCAAATCCCTGTAATTGTGAGGGTGGAGAGCAAACATGTCAAGGAAGAGTCAGCAGACTTCAGCAAAATCCTTTTATTTGACTCATGAATAACCCTTGGTTAGGGAAGAGTCATGCACCTTTCTTACCTGCCAAAAAGTTGGTTCCTGCAACATAAATTAACTTGATGACTATGTGTATATTGGATACTCCTGATCTTTGCTCAGATAGATGTGTTTCCTTCTAAGGACAAGCAAGTAAGCATTTATTTGTTGTTTAAAATTTTTTAATTTTCAGAATATAGATATATTTCTTACTTTTCCACTTTATTTCATACTGTTAATGGCAAATATCATAAAATGTTTTCTGGTAATATCAAGTTATGGCAATGGCAAAAGTCTTTTTGTTGTAGCAGAGAAACCTATAAGAAATGGTTGCCAATCTTTGTTTTATATGATCTATTTAGAGAGTTTTACCCACTCTAGATCTATCAGCTAAACTAATTTTATATTCAGTATACATGCACGTCAAATAAAATCAGTTTTACATATTGTTCTCTCTTGTCTTTGAATTTTAAATACATAAACGTAGATCACAAATATTTTTTGAGCATAGTAGCCTAAAGAATTTTGCCTCTTCAAGCTTCCTTTACTGAACATAGTTTTATATATTTGAAATTAAAATTTTATGTGGATCTGCCTTCAGACTGATATGATCTATGTTATCTACCTCTTGAAGCCTACCCTGATTATGTAGGAATGGGTTCTGTGTCATATGAAACAACAA